TACATTGAATGAGTGGGGAACTCATATCGTTAGATTTGAGAGAGATGCGGCTTACAGAGCATAATCAGGATGTTCAGTAGTCCAGTAACCAACACACATTTTGTTTTGGGGATTTGGTTGGGTTTAAGTAGCGTAGGCTCTAGGCCACTTGTCACCAGTACGTAAATTCTTGGCTAGCCCCCACAGTAATCACGTGTTGAAAAGAACTCCTTAATCCACTGTTCATACGCCAATAGAGTGAATTCATATTAATTTCTATGGTTAATTTTCATGTCAACTTCGAAGATCGATGGAAGCCCGATTTGGTGGCCACAACAACTTTTGGTCCTGCCCACGTTGCACGACATGAATGAAGGCCCAAATTGTCGCATCCTCGTAGTCGCATCCTCAAAGGAGATTGGAGCTTCTTTGATCAAACGTACGATTGAAACCTGATTTACTTTCATTTGTCAATATGGAGTCAACTTCTCTTAGGAATCAGGAAGAGCGACGAAGGAACGGATGGGGAGCGTATCAAATGGGAGATATCGAATAAATATTACGACGCAGAAGTCCATTTTCACCATGTTCCTTGGAAGACAGCTCCAAGTTCACTGGAGCAGGGAATACCTGCTGTCGTGTTCGTTTGGGACAAAGGCGAGGCAAGTCTAATTCTAGAACAAACCCTGCAGTGTCTCACTTAGTGCTAGGACTATGAGTATATGCTGGGTAGATATACGTCAGAATGGGAGAAGCTGAATGCGGAAGTGATGCTTGCTGTGGCTACTGGATCCGGCAACCTCGAGATAGACGCCGCGGAGGACTTTTGCTCTGAAGTCGGGTTTGAATTCATAGATGCAGGGGATGACGACGAAGAAATTCCACCCGATGGTCGGTAGCAGACATGCGTTTCGTTGGGGTATTTACCTTGATCCATAGGTGGCGGTCTCAGCCGTGTCATAGAGGCGCTACAAACTATTATGTGGCCGACCATGCGACGCAAAGCAACAAAGTCTCATAAATCTCAAGCCTCCATAGAGAAGTCGAAAGGTCCCGTAGAGCGAGTGCAAGCGTCCGACATGGAAAAGGAAAAGGCCAACTTGGAAGCGTGGCTTGAATCCGATGATCCCTGGCCAAAACGAACCACCGAAACTGCTGCTGGTCTCACATTCGAGGATGATTTTGCAGAGTTCGTCTCTGCGCCTCAGGATTCAACGGCGACTACTCCAGCCCCGGCCACACCTAGCGCCATAATTGGCAACAAAGCTGAGGACGAAAAAGATCACGACTCTGACGACCTGGAATTTGAGTTTAGACCAGATGATGACGATTATCGCGAGCTTTTGGACGACGAAATGCCCTCGGCTCAAGAAATCCTGATGACTTCACAAAGGCTTTTTGGTCGATCTCTTGCCTCACAGACGGATAAGGATGAAGGAGGTGAAGAAGGAGAAGATGTTGTGGGAGAGTACGACTTAGGCAGTCTCATGGCGGCTTTGCAAAGCATGAAGGAGGAGATAGCAGACATTACCGACGAGGAGGAAAAGCGCAAAGCTGCGGCGAGAGTGGCTTTAGGTTTGGTATGGGGTCTTGAAGGTGGAAAAGGACTCTAATTTTGTATGATATACTGGAGAATAAAGACATGCGGCTTTCGAGTCCAAGGTTCTCTAAGCGAAACCCAACTCAAATCACTCTTGTCTTTCTAAAAACGAAATCCCTCCCGCTTTTACCTTGGACATAAAGTTATCATACCATCTACTGACCGCGGTCATGGGTACGTAGGTTTGACCATTCGGAGCAGCCTCGCCAAAACTCAACAGGTAGTTGACCAAATGCTTCCCAATCCCCTCTGCTAACGTCACTGGATCAGCTATGGGCTTGTTCGCTGGTGGCATATTTGCTATCTGATTCGTGACCTCCCCTATTGGCTCGATGGCTATGCCTAATTGGGCAATTGTCCCTCCAGCTTGTGATATTATAAGCGCTTGTGAAGATTGAGATGCCTGCGAGTCGCCAAAGCTTCCTCGTACCCGGAATATTGCGGATGGTTTCTCATTAGACAACCTGGCCACACAAGAAAAACAGGTGAATATCTAACGAAAGTATCATTGGAGAGATACTTACATTCCAAGTAGCTGAAATCCTTTTCCTGGCCAGTAAAAGTGTACCGTAGCCGCATAACCAGCAGGAAAAGGAACTTGTAGCTCATCAGACTAATCCGTCGCGGTGATTTACGATATTGGTGATCTGATTCGAGCTTTGCATACCTGTTCCTAGCATAAACACACAAATATGGTTGATCGTCTCAGCAGACTCGAGTGCAAATGTACAGTGAGTGTCGTCGACCTGCTGCAGGTTTGTCTGCCTAGAAGAGTATAGGCTTTAGTCGTGGGTCATCGGATATAACTGATCGGAGAGCTTACATCAAGCGACCAGCTACACAGCAGCCGAACATCTCGTTATGCGATCTTGTGTTTGAGGGTGAAGTACGAGTTCAACTGAATGAACCAAGTGGCGCATATCAACAAAGTCCCGTGCCAATTCTATTCATCTTGAAATCGTAATTCAGGGTTGTTCAGTGAAGATGACGAAATTTTGCCTTCGGAACAAGACGAGGTCTTGGCTAGCTCGGGTGGCCACTCAACAAGGGCCCCTTCATGCCCTCCATCCTTGCTTTTGTGAGTTTGATAATAGTTTATGTCATAAATTGGCTAAGGGGGCTTCGTTTAAGGCGCAGTCTCATCAGATAAAACGGACACTGAGAATAGGGGAGCACTTTTCTTGGAGGATAGATCGCTGGTCAAATGAAAAAGGTCTTCTTAATTTTACTTTTAAGTTGAAATTTAATATACTGCTCGATTCGAAGGTCGTTTACTCTGACCGCATATTTGAGGAGAATGACGGTCGCAAGATTATCTTGACCGACTATCACAGCCAGACGAGCGGACGGGTATTTGTTAGTCAGGGGGTTCGTCGGTGTAATGTAGCCAATGTATTGTAGTTGC